CCCTGGCTCTAACACTGCCTCGGTACTGAATGGTTCAGATACCTCATCCATGCTTCCTTCACGCCCCCCAGCCCCACCTAAAGCAGCAGCTCAAACACCGCCCATCTTGGAGCCTGATGTAAATTTCCAGACTTTTCGCGAATGGCGGCGGCGGTGGGCTGATTATGCTACAATGGTGGATCTCCAGAGTTTGTCACAGCCTAAACAACTCATCCAGCTGCGTATGTGCCTGTCCTTGGAAGTTCAGCGTGTCTTAGAACATACGTTGCAGGTACCCCCAACCTCTTCGCTGTCTGTAGAGGAGGTACTGGACGTTCTACAACGGCACATCAAAGGACAGCAGAATGAAGCTCTGCGCAGGAGGGAATTGTTTAGCTGCAGACAGATGGAGGGTGAGTCTTTTGACGCTTTTTATGTACGTCTTAAGAGAGCCTCGGAAGAGGTAGATATATGTTTAGGCCACCACCAGCAGTGCGAGGAGACCCAGTTGAAGCAGGTGATCCTGATGGGTGTTAAGGACGAGGAACTTGTCCAACGCCTCACCTCCCTCGACTCTTCCTCTTCTCTTCAGGATGTGTTGACGATATGTCGCTCCTATGAGGCTGCCAGGTGTGCCACCTCTGCCATCCGAGCTCCCCCTACAGCTGTACGCGCTGTTTCCCGGTACAAGAAGGACAAGAAGTCCGCTCCTACGCCTTCGCCCACCACGTCCACGCCCGGTTCATTTTGTAACAACTGTGGTAAGCAGCACGGAACACAGGTGTGTCCAGCTGCTCAGTCTACCTGCAACAGTTGTGACCGTATGGGCCACTGGTCGCTCACAGTGCGGTGCCCAGCTAAGTACGTACAGTGCAATGTGTGCGGTCGTCTGGGCCACTATGACAAGTGTTGCCCTACCCACGAACCCAAGGGACAGCGTCGGCGGAAGCTTCGGCGCCCTTCTACCAGTGAGGGCCGCCCACAGTCGCCAAATCAGAGGCACGACGACCCTGGACAAAGCCCGACCCATTTTAGGAGGGTGTACTCCTCGCATCCCAGGACCAAAGTCACCCAGTACATCAGCGCCATCGTGACCTACGGCGGTGTGTCATCCCGTCTTCAGATGTTGCCCGACACCGGCGCTGATGCTACAGTCATCGGTCCCCAGCATTTGCGATGCTTGGGGCTCTCTCCAAGCGATCTAGGACCGCCTCCCGAGGACCTCTGCGTCATGGCAGATGGTTCACAGATGGCCCCAGCCCTGGGTTCACTCTATGCACATGTCACCTTTGGCAACAGGTCGTGTCAGGCCTGGATTGACGTGCATAATGGTGTCCCGACTCCCTTGCTGTCCTACAGACATTGTCAAGAGTTGGCCATCATCTCCCAGGACTTCCCAACACCGATTCTCGAGGTAAATTACGCCAACAGGGTGCATGAAGGGAGCAGCAACTACCCTGCTGCCGCCCTACCCCTACCTCTGGCCAGTGACACCTCTCCTTCGGTAGTTGTCCCTGCTGCATCACGTCCCCACGCCCTGGCTCGCCTTCACGACAGTCACCGTGGAGCTGAGGCCACCAAACGACGTGCACGACAGACTGTGTTCCGGCCTGGCATCGACCCCGACATCTCCAATGCTGTCCAGGTGTGTAAGCCCCGCCACGTATTACAACCCAGCCAGCAGCAGGTACCCTTCATGAGTGACGACAACCCCACCCGCCCCTTTGAGTCTGTGTCGGCCGACTTTTTCTGTGTGTCAGGAAAGTCCTTCCTGGTTATCGTCGACCGTCTCTCTGGTTGGCCGGTTGTCATCAAGGGCGGTAATGACACGACGTCTGCCGCCACCATCAGCAAGTTCCGCCACTACTTCCGTGACGTGGGCGTTCCTGTACGCCTGCGAACCGACGGAGGGCCTCAGTTCACAAGCCGGGACTTTGCTGCGTTCCTTGACCGATGGGGAGTCCGGCATGTGTTGTCATCGCCCCATTACCCGCAGTCCAACGGCCACGCTGAGGCTGCTGTCAAATCCCTGAAGCACCTCATCCTTAAGGTGGCCCCTTCTGGGAACATTGACTGCGAGGCCTTCGACCGGGGTCTTCTTGAACTCCGCAACACACCCAACTACACCGGACGCTCCCCTGCCCAGGTTTTGTATGGACGCCCCCTTCGTTCTTGTGTCCCTGCTCACCCTCAATCCTTCTCCAAGGAGTGGCAGGCCAAGACAGAGGATTGTGATCGCCGAGCCGCCGAACGTGTTCAGGACGTCGTCGCCCGCTACAACGACCACGCCCGTTCCCTCCCCAGGTTGAGTGTCGGCACCCAAGTCCGTGTTCAGGACCCGACCTCCCTACGTTGGGACAAAGTAGGCGTAGTCATGGGTCTCGGCAGGTCACGGGACTACCAGGTGCGGTTACCCAGTGGTCGTGTGTGGTGGAGGAACCGCCGTTTTCTCCGCCCCGTAACACTGCCTTCTGCTGGCCCCGCCACCAGTGTTGAGTCCCATACCCTTCCCAGTGATGAAGTCCCTCGACGCTCAGAACGGATCCAGAAGAAAAGGTCCGCTCAAGACTTTGCTATGAGCGTATAGGGGGGAGGGAGGTGTATGTATATTATGTATGCTGGATTATGTATTATGTATGTATATTATGTATGTGCTCCATTTATATTTATTCAGCCTAGCTAGCAGCGTGTGGCAATGTTATTACCATATCCCACATGCTTAATTAATGTGCCTGGCGACGTATGGAAGCTGCTAATGTATCACTTGCCATACGTCGTCTATGGTAGTTGACCAAGAGCTTAGCTAGGGAGCAGTGCTACCCACCTCTGTGTACATACTCTTATCCAGTAAACCGAACCTACAAAACTATACAGGTGTTTGTGTTCTCTCCTGTATATAGAACTTATTACCCAGAACATCTAACAACTGAGTCTGACCAAGACTCACTGTGAACTGTCCCTCTAATTGGTGGTGTGGTTGTTGTGACATCATTCCTCGATTCTAATTGATGAATGGCTGAATTTTTTGCACCATGTAATATCAGGCAGGTGCTAGCAAGAAGGAGGGGCAGTGGTACTTAATGTAATTATTTAAGCAGAATTTTAAATACAGTATTACCCGATTTACACGGTTTCACTTTCCGCGATTTCTCATTTACATTTCTCATTTACGCGGTACCTTGCCAGAACCGGACTTTCACTTTCCGCGGTGCATCTACTCATATACGCGGTGAAGTATAATTTTTTTTTTTATTTAGCTCATAAAATTCATACAAATTACCCGGCCAGAATATAATTTACATTGCTGGAATTCTTACAATATGATGATCATTTTGAATATAAACATCATGGATTTTGCATTAGACATACAAATTTTAGATCTTATGTAATAATTTGGTTTACACAAAGCAAATATTTTATCTTTTGTGCAAAATATATGAAGTTTACATTCAAAATATTCCCTGACCTGCAAGGAATCCAGAAATGTCAATTATATTATCCTAACTTTAGTCTGAGGTATTATTTATTACTAAAAGTTAAAATCTAGTTTTTTCACCCAACATTTCTCTGGTAGGGAGGGAAGGTGGGGGGTGGGGGGGGAGGGTTGGGACCGACCGACCCAGCTGGCGTGAGTGTGAGGAGGGGGGGAGGCAAGTTGGGGTACTTTGATTGACAGATAGTGTCGGGAAGAATATTTTTTTTTTATTAACTGAAGATATTTGTTTTAGCTCATAAAATTCATACAAATTACTCGACCAGAATATAATTTACATTGCTGGAATTCTTACAATATGATGATCATTTTGAATATAAACATCATGGATATTGCATTAGACATACAAATTTTAGATCTAATGTAATAATTTGGTTTACACAAAGCAAGTATTTTATCTTTTGTGCAAAATATATGAAGTTTCCATTCAAAGTATTCCCTGACCTGCAAAGAATCCAGAAATTTCAATTATATTATCCTAACTTTAGTCTGAGGTATTATTTATTACTAAACGTTAAAATCTAGTGTTTCACCCAATCATTTCTCAGAGAGGTAGGGGCCAGTGAGCTGGGAAGATGGGGGGGGGGAGGGATTTGAGTCCATTATTTGAATGGACATTAACCTGGCAACTGTATTTCTCTTAAATATTAATTGTGTGAGCATACCATCATAAAATTTAGCTGTTATTTTTACTACAACATAGGTATTGTGTCGGAAAAAGTGGAGTTTGGGGGTCGGGCCAGTCTCTATTGGAATTAATCCCATATGTTCTGTTGTTCACTTTAAGCGGTTTTCACTTTCTGTGGTACCCTGTGGGTTCAATTGACTGTGTAATGTACACCCATTCTCACACATATGTATAGACACAAAATTGCTTTACATAATTTCATATCACATGGAATGAAGTAAAGCATGTTAGAACCACAGGGATTTGATGGGAGAGGGGGGATAAGAGGGTAGGCTAGGTGAGGTGGTTGGTCAAGGTGCTAATGGACACAAGATGATCAAAAGGAAAGTCCGCTGTCATGGTCACTGCCACCTGACTTGACTCGACTTCACCTCACCTTAAAAGACCTCTAGGTATGTGACCGTGTGGTGTCTCCCTACACCCACACAGTATCCTTCATGACTCCACTCACACAACTCTTTTACTATGGTTAACAATTAATTAAAAAACATATTACTAGTTTGCCACAGACATTAAAACTCTTTGTTTGTTTGTTTGTAGCGTGTAACGCGAATTTTTTTCCAATTATTTTGGAGTAAAAGTATTAGAAAACCATACTTAGGTAAAATTTAAAGTACTAAAATTTTTTAGTACTTTCTACAAAGTAGATACCCAAAAATGTTACTTGAGTACAGTACTCAAACAAAATTTTTTGTTTACTTCACAACTCTGGTTATATCTTACCTCTTTATTTAACCTTTCCACACAATTGAGCCAAGAATATCAAATCAGAACATTTAAATCAGTACCAAAAAATCCATAAGCTCTCTTGGTCACCTCCATAACCTCTTCTTTACTTACTAAGTCTGTGGTGATGTGATGACAGCAACTGGTGTAATATATTGAGTCGTTGATGATCATCTGGCAATGGCACCATCAAAGTCTACCAGAATATCTCAACTTTGAGGTAATGCTGCTTGTGGCAGCAACCAACAGCACTGGCTTTGAAGATGTCTGGAAACAAAACTCTTTAGTTTTTATTCTTACAATATGCCACACAGTGCAGTACTGCTATAAGAGCATCTGGAGGTGATGGAACTAATAACAATGGTTAAGCTTTGTAAACCATTTTCCTTTACAGGACTATTGAGAATATGTAGAGGTGGCTCAATGTCTCTTGTTTAAGGAATATGGCAATGTATAAGATTTATAAAATATTTTGTTTAATAACTCAGTATCATAAATTACCTTTTTAGAAATATCTATGACACTCATAATTCTGGGGTAATCGGCAAGTGTATCATCCCAAATTTGTTGATCTATGCCATTGTAAACTGAGTAAAGTAGCTAAGCCTGTGATTGTCTTAGAGAGGTTGAACAGTAATGAACAGGTACATACTGTATCACAGAACTCAATTGCAGTGTGTGTAGATCCCTTGCACAATTGCAGGTATCAAGTCTCACTTGCCCTGTGCTTTGTGTTCACCAGCATGACACATGCTCTCTACTTCATCTCATCCAGAAATAAAACTGATGGTGCACTGTATGGAGAATATATACAGTACAGTGACCCCTCGTTTAACGAACACCTCGGTTAACGTTATTTCGATTAACGAACTGCCTTCCATAAGGATCTTCAATTCGGTTAACAAAAAAAAATTCGCTTAACGAACTTCTTACGAACCGACCTCAACATGTTTTCGCTTGCACTGACCGGGCAACCGGCTTTAGTATCAGTCCGCCAATACATTAATCGGTTCTAGGGCTTAAATTCCTTACTATTTTAGTAAATATCAAGAAGTTTATACTATTCAATAATTTTAAAAGTTTAATATTAAATTTTTTAGCCATTTTAACAATTATTGAACATAATTGAAGGTAAAGTGACTAGTTTAATGCGCGGCATCCAGCCTCTTAACACAGCAAACAGGAGTTAGTCTCTCTCTGTTTTCACTGGAGGTAACATCTTGCTTGAGACTCTCTTCAACTAAACGCTTTTTTTCTGTGTTTCCAAGCAAATTATTGGTCATTTTGAAATATATTTTACATATTGACAATATATAATGCAGTGCAGTGTTGATTTAAAGAAAATAATCTTGAATTACACCAAGAGAGCTAAAATTTTATGGGTGAAATGGCGCCATGGGGTGACTTCTCTTCCACCCCAATGCCTTCTCTTCGTCCTTCTCCTCCACCCCCATTCTAAATCCCATCATCATCATCATCATCATCATCCAGGAGCCTTCTACATACACACCTCAAAGTAAGTGAACTTTTCTACCATTTTTGTTGAATTTAGGAAATTTTCGGTGAGCTGGAACCAATTCCCCAAAAACCCATTGAAACAATGGTTTCGGTTAACGAACTTTTCGGTTAACGAACGACCTTCTGGAACGGATTGAGTTCGTTAACGGAGGGGTCACTGTATCTATTATCTCTGACTTCACCTATAAAATACTGCATTAAAAAACAAAATGTAATTTCACCAATAAGTATACTACAGGAGTACTACAGAACTTATGAAGAAAATATTGCTATCCACAGTCAATTAATCCATTAAGCAGAGAAAAGAAATAATGATTACAAATAACTATACCAGTAATATCTTAATTAGCCAGAATCCCTCAAACCAGGAGCTCTCTGATAGCCGGAATTGAAATTTTCCCGGAAAATCATTCCCAAAGCTGTAATTTTCCAGAACATTCTGGCTTTGCGAACGATTTTTCGAGGGGCACATTTTCTGGAAAATTTGGGAAAATTTTCCCGGCACCCAGAAAATTCCAGGGATGGGGGATTTTTATTCTGGGTCTGAGAGATGAAAATTAGGGGTACGTATTTACCGGAAATTCTGAGAAAATTTATTCTGGTACCCTGAAAATTCTGGGGATGGGGGATATTTTTCCTGGTTCGAGACATATGTAATGTGCAATTTCTGGAACTTCCAAGAATATTTTTCAGGTACCCGGAAAATTTCAGAAAATTCTGGGGATGAGGGATAATTTCCGGCTTCGAGAGATGAAATAATGCATCATTCTGTAGCTTCCGAGAAAATTTTTTCTGTTACCCAGAAAATTCCGGGGATAAGGGATTTTTTTCCGGCTTTGAAAGAGTCGTTTCATTACCCGGAAACCTCTCATTCCCGGAGGTGCTCTGCACCAATTGTTCTGGCCAACAGAGATATCACTGCAGCATTCCCTTAAAATTTGCAGCATTTTAACTTGCGGATGACACCTTGGATGTACCCAATAATGTCTGCGGGTACTTTTAAAGTTGGCAGAATGTTCGTGGCCAAGATAGGGAGTATGCAAGTTTTGTGGCATCCCACAAGGTGTTTCTCTTGTCCCGGGAGGCTGGGCCACACGAGCTCACTCCGACTCAGTCCGGGATAAACACTTGTCTGCCTCACATGTGTGCTACTCTGCTCTCTTAACTGTGCTCCTTGTGCTTGTGATGTCTCCCAAATGCCCTCAACCACCTTCATCCAGCCACAGGAAGGTGCCCAAACAAGTGAAGAGAGAAAAGAAGGTCATGACCCTAGTGGAGAAGATACAACTGCTGGACAAACTTAGGAGTGGCCGAAGCTTTGCAGCGTGTGACCACAAGTACTGTATGGCATCAATGAGTCAACTGTCTGCTACATCAAGAAGAAAGAGAGGGAGATTCTTAATGCTTCTGCCAAGGATACAGCCATGGTGAAGATGAAAAAAGCCCTTAACATCTGGATTGAGGACTTTAACCACCGCCACATCCCTCTCAGCCAGAAGTTTATCTGTGACAGAGCCAAGGACCTGTATGACTGATTCCATGATGAGGAAGGTGGTGAAGGTGAAGTGAGTGGTGAAGGTGGTGCTAGTGCTGGTGGTTCTGGTGATACCACAAAGAAAGGTTTTAATGCCACTAACGAGTGGTTTGAGCATTTCAAGAAGTGCTACAACCTGCACAACTTGAGGATCACTGGCGAGTCAGCCTCGGCGGATGATGTAGCAGCAAGGGAGTATCCTGCGATCTTCGCTGAGATTATCCGGGAGAAGGGCTACAAGCTGGAGCAGGTTTTCAACACTTGACAAAACTGGCTTCTGGTGGAAGAAGCATGGATGTGACTGGGTCTTGACAAAAAAAACTTGAAAATAGTTTTTGAGCTCGGGGGTCAGGGGAAACACCTGCCGTATATCTCGGCCTATAAGGCGTCGGGGTGCATAAGACGGCCCCCCAAATTTCCATTTAAAAAGTAGCTTTTGAGCTCTATTTGCTGTATAAGACCGATACCCCAAATGTGACACTTACCCACTGACTCAGTAGTCCTTTACCAACCATCCTTGGTTTTTTAAAATAAGGCCAATTCACTTCAAGTAATGTCATCAAATGTTATCGGCTGGTGTAGTGTAAAGAACTAGTGACGTCACTTAAGCGTCGGCTATTTACCGGTAACTGGAACTAATGTCGGTGTCGAGTAAAATTTTTCCATTGCCGTTACTCAAATTCATGTACAAGCTGGACAATTTTGTAATTAAGAAGATTTGTGATCAGGTGAGAAGGCCGGGTCACTTGACCATCTGACCTGACCACCAACCGTTGTGTGCTATTTAAAGATTAGTAGGGTCATTACCTAATACCTGACCATTGTGGACCTGGTCTCACCCTCCTCTGTATATATACACCTTGATTTGTATTACTCTCTCTAGTCTGTGCTCACCCCTGAAGATGTGAATTACACGAAAGTGCTTGGGAACTTCGTGTTTTCTTCTTTCCTTGTGGTTATCAGCATATATATATATATATATATATATATATATATATATATATATATATATATATATATATATATATATATATATATATATATATATATATATATTTATATATATATATATATTTAATATACTCATTCACACTATTTTATAATTGCAGTCATGTACTGAATATTCTATGTACACAAAATAAATGTTAAATTAATTATTTATGGTGCATTAGGGTACTGGCCACTTCAGACACAAAGACGGGCTATAAATAGCCTTCTTATCTAGGTACCCTCCATCTCACCCTGAGTCAGAGGGAAGGGTCTTGGTAAATAACATTTGTTGGCTTAGTTTCCATTTACTTGAAATAGATTTACCGAATTATTTGTTTATTTATTTATTTATAATATACTGTAATATATTAAACACACTGTAATTATTTTCTTTAATTTATAAACTTGTTTTGCGACAAAGGAATGTTCTCCAGTAGTGTTTCATTAGGATTTGAGTGAAAAAATATTATGTACTTACTACATACATTTATAACACAAACATATTTATATATACTGTATGTATACATATATACACATGCACACATTTAATTTACTAATTCACAATATTTTAAAAGCAAATTACCCGACAAGTTAAAAATGTTATTAGCACATGATTATTACTGACGTCATCATGTATTAAAAACCTTCAAAATCCACATCATCAACATCCGATTTCATAAGTTCTTCAAGTACATCCTGAGATACATTTATGGCTGCATCATCATAAGGATCAAACTCCAAATCAGATGACGTGGCTTCGGCTTCTGTTTCATCCTCGTCCTCCCACAACATATCATCTTCCATACCATCCATTGAATTAGATATTCCGCACTTTTCAAAAGACTTGATAACTGTTTCCACATTAATATCATTCCATGCCTTGATAACAAAATCACACAGTACATCCAGTTCGGGAGCACGCATATTCCCACCTTTCGTGTAAGACTTTTTGCCGCTGATCATCCACTTGTTCCATTGTTCACGAACGCGGTCCTTGAATGGTTTGTTTAGACAAACATCAAGTGGTTGTACAACTGAAGTTAATCCACCAGGAATAACTGCAATGTCACTGCTGTTCCTCGCCATGCTGGTTTTTGTTCCCTCTGTTAAATGACTCACGAATATATCCCATACTAAGAGGCTACGCTGTTTTCGAAAGCCACCAGGTCGCCTACACCATATATGATCAATCCATAACTTTATTCCTTGTTCGTCCATCCAC